TGACCCAAAAAAAATGACAAACACTAAAAAAGAGAGAAAAATTCAAAAAAGTTGCACACACTTAAAAGTAAAAAATTCAAAAAGTCACAAAACGCCAAAAAAAAAAAAAGTATTGGAATCAGTTTAATAAAATGACAGAAAAAAGCGACATAACCATTGTCCCTCATCTTTCTCATTTCAACGCCAAGCATCTTTAAGTCAATTTACCAACAAAATACCAATCAAAATGCTAAGCATCTTTAAGTCAATTTACCACCATCATCATCTACTAACCCAGCTAACCCATTGACCACTCAAGTCCATCTTATATGAATTCGATGCTAAATCAAGAAATAGTGAAAACCAGTACTAGAACAAGTTGTTGAAATCATAGAAACATAAGATCTATAGAGTAGTATTTCACTACTACATGTAAGTAAGAACTTTTTTCTACAATCCATCAATTACAGCATCACCCGACTTTTTTTGGCATTAAAATGGAAGTAATTCAATAAAGTGAAACAACATGCTTAAGAAAAAATTAAAAAGTCTATTTCTTTGGCATTAAATATGAAAGTTATTCAATAAAGTGATAAAAACTTGAAAAAAAAATGATGGATATTCAAAAAAGTGATAGGCACTCAAAAAAGTGAAAAACACCGATATAAACCTTATTATAGATCTGAGAGTTGTTAACTTTCTTCTACATTTTGTGTCTTCGTGATTATGTTTCACTCTCATTAACTAAACATAGGAAATAACTTCATTTTAGCAACACAACCTATAATTTGAAAGTGACAAAAACATATTTAAATTAAAAAGTGTCACAACATGTCACTTTTTGTTCACGTTGTCCATTAGCAAGATTTTGACAAAAACACGTGGCAAGGATTTTGTCCTTTATCTTTATGTGAGCATTACGCTACACAAGCAACTCATCTATGACAACTCTTTCACAATCTTGAGGGATTATTAAACCAACATGTTTGAGGGATTATTAAATCCCGATCCTACAATAAGAAAAAAGATACAGTTAAAATGAAATTCAAATGAACTAACAAGAAGTACATGCTCTAGGAAAGTGACAGAAATTCAAAAATTAACAAATATTTATAATAAAGTGACAAATACTTAAAAAAGTGACAGAAATTCAAAAAAAAAAAAAATATGATAAACATTGAAAAAAGTGACAGAAAATAATAAAAAAAAAGTGGCAGAAAAAAAAAGGAATAGTACTATACGATATTAGATTATAGACCAATATTGTACAATTTATGGCACTAATTAAAACACCAACATTGTTTTGGCAACTTACACGAATACACTGAAAATGGGGCAACTTACAAAAATACACTAAAAGTTCATTTTGAAGTTTTTGCCATAACACACAAAAGTATAGATACTAGCACTTCGTAACTGTTACGAGTCATAATATAGAGGCGACACGTGACATCATATTTCAGTGGTACGTGACATCATATTTCAGTGGTGGGACCAGTTTACTTAGGCCAGGATATGTTCTCTTAGCCTCCGACGTGGATTCCGAGGCCTTGGCTATTGTTCCGAGGCCCTCAAGACAGTTCATATGCCTTCACTGTCATCCCAGGCCCAAGCCTCGCGTGGAAGAAGACCACAAGGAAAGATATTGCAATGATGAAAGATCCGTGTAAATGATTGACGTGACTTTCGTATAAAGTAAACTCTATCTTGTTTTGTCAGTGTAAGAACATTTAATGCTTTGTAAGGTTAGGAGAGTCAACTTGGTGGCTAGGATTTGATGTCTTGGCCGAGGAGATGAGGCCACGTGTAAATTGATCCAAAGGTCATTATTCGACTTGTAATAATATAAATACCCCAACATGTAACACAAAAAGGTGAATGAAACTTCTCATTCCAAATATAAAGAATACTGAATACTTGGAGCAACATTTCTCTCGTTTCAATAGTGATTCGAATATCATATTTTCTACTACAAATCGTTCTTCATCGATTGGTTTCTTGTACAATCGTGTCACCCTTCTTGCCGGAAGCCTAAATGGAAACGTCTTGTGCCTTTGAGCCACTCCCACGTCTAGATTTTAGAGCTATCATGACCGTCGATCGGCATTAACGTGTTGGATTAAGCTTACGTATACACGAGTGGGCCCGGCAGCCGTTTGCATCATTTTTTGGGGTCAATAGTAACAAAACCTCGCAGACAGTATCCACCCCTACCCCATTTTCTCTGTTTCTCATCTCTCCAACAATACTTTCCTTGGACAAACATCAAAACTCAATCAACAAAAACTAGTGCAGCTTCCTCTTTGAAGACAAAGCCTTCATACATGAAAGGCATGCATACTCCATAAATGAATTAAGGAGTTTAAACTGGCAGACAGCTTCTAATGCAGGCACCATAAATGGTATGAATCTCTCTTAAGGCCAACAAATGCTCAGTTCCTTTAAATTGTGTTTTGCACAGCCAGTGTAAATTTATTAGAGGGACCCAAAATATCGAAAGCAAACAAATGTCACAAAATCATGGCCCCAGTTCCTCGACAACGACAATTGAAATTGTAGAGAGGTAAATTTCGACGTTTTCGTTGACGTGAATAGTGTTTCGGCTACTCCGATTAGTGTTTGCTACCTGCAAAATGAGGTCAGGGCTTTCTCCCCCATTGTACCTTCAGCGTGAGAATTAGTATTCAGTTTCAGAAAATAGAAAGAAATTATAGTGGAATTAAAATAGTTCGGGTTTCAAGAAAAATACATTTTCTCACATTTGGGGTATTTATAGGCACCTGATGACACGCCCCCGTTCTATAGTTAATTATGTCACGTGTCCCACGTATGCCTTCACAGTTCCCCCACGTTCTAGAGTTGTGACCTCCACTCGTCAAGCGGTTGGTTATGCCCATGTTCGCTGTTCTATGGTTTCATCAAACTCATTGTTATTTATTTGGCCAAGTGTAGTTTTGGCCGCATGGTGGTAGACAGCCCTATGTGAACGTAGAGGGTCTCATGGGGGTCGACGACCTCATAGTAGTAGACGGCCTATGCAACCCCATGGGGGTCGACGGCTTCATAGTGATAGACGGTCATGCAACCCTATAGTGGTAGACGGCCTATGTGAATGTAGAGAGTCTCATGGAGGTTGATGGCCTCATGGAGGTTGACGACCTTTGTGAACGTAGAGGGTCTCATGGGGACCGACGGCCTCATGGAGGTAGACGGTCTATGATGTGGTGTTCTACAGGAGGTGCATATTAAGTAGTCGGCCTTCGTGAAAAATTGTTAACACCATTTTATATCAACAATCATCTCAAATCTCAATCAATTATCTTTCCTAGTTTTCTTCTAACCCACATGGTCAGTTCAAATAATCTTGAACCACGAGAAGGGTCCCACATGATCCCTCTTCACATTTATCAAATTACTTAATAGAAATTTGTAGAACGAGGACATATGATATAGATTATAGAGGCGTGTTTGGGCTGGATTAAAATTTGATTTTAATCTAAGTCAAAGTCAAACAATTAATATTAACCACATCTTTCATGGATCCCATATCTTTTCAACCACACGTTTCAAAAATTTATATCACAATCCACTAAACATTTAATTGTAATCTCCACCAAATACCCTCTAGATCAATATTGTACAATTTATGGCACTAATTAAATCACCAATGTTGAGAAATTTATGGCATCATAAATAATGACAACAATCATCAATAATAGCCAAACTTATTCAACTTTTGAATCTAAACAGTGAAAAATGTTTGCTACCTTGGGTTTATAAAATTTTGAAGAAATTATTTCCTTCTTTGTAGTTGCTTCTTCGTTAATAATTATTTTCTCCAACCATTGCAGAAGTCGGTGTCGGACTAAGGTGAGTGTTTATACTATTTCGGAGTTTTTGAAGTCGGAGTCAACGTCAGATCAGAGAGTCAGGTGAGTATTTGCAGAAGACGACGAAGCGACGGAGCCGGGGAGACAACAGAAAATGTGGGAGAGACGTTGGAGAAATAGGAGAGTTTTAGAATGAATAAAGTGGGAGAGGGTTGTGGTTTGGGGGCTTTAGTTTTTAGGACGTAATTAATATCCATTTTATTAAGTTTAATTTATTTAGGGCATTAATCTATTTTTTTTATTCAATTTTTAGAGTACGGGATCTAATTTCTCCTTTAAAATTTTCAACGAGACGAGGGATGAAAAGGGTCGTTCTCACTACATATAAAATAACCTTGTCACGTTTAGGGGGTACGTAGTATCATTATATTTACAATTCATATTTACTGAAAATGAATTCTAAAGATATATTGTAAACTTAATATCTAATAGAATATTTTTTCAATTTTCTAAAAATAATTATGAACTACAAGAAACATCAATTTAAACATGCTTGAAATGAAAGAAAAAAAAAATACTTCGAAGATGAACTTGTTTCTGGCAAATGGAAAATGATTGTAGGAATTTAATGAACCATACAAAACTTTATCTCCGTATTTAGTACATTGTATTGAATATAACTTTTTATTTTTAAAATCGTGCAAATTTGATAGGACTCGATAATACAATAAAAAGATAGTAGCTTAACTGTAGTTTCCATATCCTTTCGTATATTACAATTCAAAATTATTCGATATGATTTTGGAAAACACGAAAATAATATTGGTGCATCTATACTATAATAGAAAAAGAAATAAACTATTTTGTTTGTTATCTCTTCAACAAAATGATATCCAATTAAAACAAAAAATAAAGAATTATTCTGAGCACGAACTCATGGTTTCTTTCTCTTAATTTCTCGATTGCAGCTCATTTCTCACTTGTTCATCAGCTTGGGTTTATTCATGCTCCAAGCATTCAAGCTCTCAATTTCAATAGTTTCAGTCCCATTGTTGAATGCATACAAATGAGCATTATCATTTGTTGCAATAGTAGGATAAACCCTAGATGTAATGCATGTTTTTCCTTTAGCACCAAAACTTTCCACTACAGAATGATCGATCAAACTCCTTAGAGAAAGCTTCTTGTCTGTTAGGTCGACGTCAACAAAGCCTGCAAAAGACGGTCTTCCTTGTTCTCTAACGAGGACTTTGATGCATCAGAACACATAGGAACTATATGTTTGTTCTCTTGATCCTTAAAAATCCTGAAAAAGACTGGAGTGTATTCTTCCAGATTTTCTGAAGCCAGCGTTAATAGCCCAAATGGTCCGAGCCCTCCTTGAACGGTCGATCCCTTCTGGCCGCAAAGCTTCTCGGCATCATATCTATCCCAGTTAGGATCAAATGGCTCAGCCTTGTCCAAGCTTTCAAAAGTAAATGTCACCTCAACATCAGCCTGAGCAGCTGATATTCCTTCAATTTCGACGCGATCATCCTTCTCGAGCTTCTTATTGCTCAATTCTACTTTCTTCCCTCTAAGAGTTTCCAATTCTTCAACAGGCCATTGTAACAATTGCTTGCCATTGGGATCAAGCACAATAGTACGAGGAATAAGCTGGATTCCGGCCCATCCCTTTCTCACGTCATCGTCAACTGGATCCGATTCATTTGCCCAACCCCACAAGATTCTTCGATTCTTAGCAGGATCGAAGAACGATTTGGAGGCGTAAAAATTGCCATAATCATACCTCAAGCCCTTCCATCCATCAACCATGTCTTTATCAGGAATGTACCTGTCTTTTTCTGTGTCATACGTACCTAAAGTGTAATAATCATATCGAGTAGCATCGAGGCTAATCTTCATTACATGCTTAATATCTCCTTCTATAACAGAAGTGTCTAATTCCTTCGTACCTTGCTTCGAGACTGGGAAAAAATCTGGGCATTCCCAATTTCCAGTTCCTCTATGAGAGTGCAATGGCTTTTTCACCTTGGTCCATTTCATGAAATCTTTACTCTTGAACAATAATGAAATCCCTTTATTCTTCTTCCTACTGCCAACAGTGATTCTCCATTCACCATCTTTGCCCAACCATGCTGTCGTAGGGTCTCGGAATGCAGTTTTGTTGACGTGTTTATCAGCTACGATCAATGGATTGTTATCTGGTTTGTTCCACTTCACGAGATATGGATCAGAAATATTCTCAGGCACTGCATAGTTTTGAACCTGTGTGTTATTTTCGTCAATTATTCCACTGTAGAGGATCACAGGCTTGTTTCCAGGGAGGATTGTGGCCGATCCAGACCAACATCCATATTTATCAAATGATTTTGATGGGAAAATTGCAGGCTCTAATTTTTCCCAGTTGATCAAATCCTTTGACACAGAATGAGCCCAAACAATATTACCCCATACAGCACCTTTAGGATTGTACTGGTAGAACAAATGATAGACTCCATTGAAATACATTGGACCATTTGGATCATTGATCCAATGCTTTGTGGGTTGAAAATGGTAGCCAGTTCTATGCAAGTCCTTGACGGTTTCGGCAGAAATGGATTGTAAATGCACGTAAACTTCGTGGGATGCTTCGACTCCATTGTTTAATAACAAAGAACATAGAAAGAAAAATGGCAAAGCCCAAAGAAAACTTTTTTCGAACCCCAATTAGTGTAACGACCCATGTCTCTATACCCAAGCCTCCAATTGGTACCAGGATTCAACTTAAATCTCCCATATGATGGAAGTCTTGGGTTCGAATCCTAGGGGACGCGTCAGAAAGCCTTGAGGGATAAGTGGACATATATAGGTCCATCCAAAGCAGACAGTACGCAAGTTAACGGCTTGGGTATAGAGACCTGGATCGTTACAAGAAAATGCGTGTTTTTTGTAACGACCCAGGTCTCTATACTCAAGCCGTTAACTTGCGTATTGTCCGCTTTGGAAGGGCACATGTTATCTTACACCTCACGACTTTTTGAGGCGTCCCCCAAGATTCGAATTCAAAACCTCCAGCATATGAAAGACTTCATTGGTACCAGAATTCAACTCAAGACCTCCATCAATTGATACCAGGATTCAACTTAAGTCTTCCATATGATGGAGGTCTTGAGTTCGAATTTTTGGGGACGCGTCAGAAAGTCGTGAGGGGTAAGATAGGCCTAGGCCCACCCAAAGCGAACAATACGCAAACTAACGGTTTGGGTGTAGAGACTTGGGTCGTACAATTAGGCTTGATGGAACAGAATGATATTCTTGAATTCTGATATGGTATTTATAGGAACGTTGTGAGAGAAAAAATGGGGGAGGGAGAGAGATGGAGGGAAAAAGGGAGGTGTTTTAGATAGTTGAATGGATAACAAAAAGTTATGAGAATGAAAGAAAGAAATTCGTTCATAAAAAATAAGAAAGAAATAATGAATGGAGAATAAATAAAAAAAATAAGAAAGAGATAAAGAAAGAAAAAGATAATAAATAAACAAATAATCGTGAAAAAGAAATAAAAATAAGATTCTTATAAAGAATGAAAATAATAATAATAATAATAATAATGAGATAAAACAAGATAAGAAATAACGGTTGTACTATATGTGCGTAACAATTTACACAATGAATTATCAACAGATGATGTGACGAAATTTAATTAAATCAAAGTCTCATCGATCAAATAATTTCCCAACTTATAGTTTAACACATCATCATTATTTAAAACATTATATAAATAGTTAAGTACAAGAAGCATTTTTCAATAAATAAATAATTATGAAAAAGAAGTTTAATAGTAAACTTAAATCGACGAGTTGGTTTGAGAGTGCGTGGCTCTTAACCACAAAGTGGAATTATGATAAAGATTCCAAGTCGGAGAGTAATTAGAAAAATACACATAAAACTAAGAATATTTTGAAAAATAAGATAAAGGCATGTTTGGTGTAACTAAAAATCAAATATTTAATAAATTTTGATATAAATTGATGAAATGTGTGAATGAAAACTTGATAAAATTGTAAATCACATTAAATGTGTAATCAAAATTAATTGTTAACTTTAATTTATTTATTTTTAAAAAAACTTAAGCCACATCAAACAAGGGCAAAAAGTAATTTTAAAGTATAAAGTAAAGATACTTTTTAGTTTAAGGTATAATTTATAAAATGGATTCGACAATTGCTATTTTTTGTTTGAATTATGCTATTTGTATATTCATTTCCTACATTTTTGTTGATATTGTGTGAGGTGTCAAAATCGAGACTATTGATTGTTTTAAATGTTGTTGAAACCAATAGCAAAATTGTACGCCAATTCACACACTGTCAAAGAAATTGTCAACCATGATATACACCAAACAAAACTGTCTTTGTTTGTTCCATCAGCGTGACCCCTTCTAGGGGTGTTGGGCTGGGCCGGGCCAGGTCACTTAAGTGGCATGAGGTGCCTCGTTACACTAACAAGCCAGTGTGTGGGCACACGCACATCAGCTTTTAATCATACAAAGCGGATTATTGACTCACATTTAGGTCACAAGCTCGTAAACTAGCCTAGCTCATTGGTCAAATTAAGTCATTGATGGTACCATGCTGATCACAGGGTGCCATCAATTCTATCAATTTGAATTCAAAATCGAATTTAAAATTTTTTTAGTGGAATTCGAAGCCTATAAATATGGATGGAAGAAAATTAAATTCATCACAGATCAACATTTTTTACAATATCTTGATAATCTCACAATCTCTTTATCAAATTCTGCAATTATTATATAATTCGATTCTCAAAATTTCTTCAATTCTTACTTTCCTTGTGCCAATATTTCTTCAATGTTATATGGTTGTTTATTTGTTTCTAAATATTTATTCAATTTCAACTTTGGTGGTGCGTATTCTTAAATTTTCTACAATAATCATTATAGATTACACTAGATTCTTGAACCCAATGATAATTTAAGCCAATTCTTTAATGTTTTTAAGTACTTCCGTCTACGATTTTTTCTCGAGTACGCGATCCTCCAACTTCAATAAAACGTGGTTTACTTAGAAGAGACTATAATATCAATATAGCCACCTATTATTTATTGAAGTGGGGATACGTAAATAGACAATTTTGCCATTAAGTGGTAAAAATGGGATGATTCGCACTTTTGAAAATGACAATTACTTTTACAATTTTTCTTGACTTTTTCAAGATTGTTTGACGCACATTATTGAGTGGAGAATGCATTTTAAATAGTGATTTGATAGAAAATATGTTGTAAAAAATAAGGAAATATTTTGGATTTGTGTGTTATATTATTTTATTGAAAAATGTGTGGTTGAAAATTAATTTTGAAAAAATAATTTCTTTTAAGAATGTGGGTCAAACAAGGTGTCAGTCAGATTTCCCTTTTTTCTTGTTTTATTTGGAGGGACAATTCTGTCATTTTAAATTACCTTAACAGACAAACTAGACAGGATCGTAAAACTTCTGGTGCCATTTTTAAAGACTAGTCAAAGTTGAACGTGCATTATACGTTATTTCAAAATACTTTATAAGTGTTGTAAAGTGATATTTAATATCAATTTGTTGTGAGAATTTGATGAGTTTCTAATGAACTAAAGAAAATAAAATTTAGGATAGAAATTAAAGAAAATAAAATTGTACTCTCAAAACTCAACTTATATGATTCGATTTTTTATTATGATGAAATACTACAAACGAGTAACTTTTTTATGCTACATTTGTTATATAAGAATTAATTGCTACTACACGGATTTAAACACCAATTAAAATCCATAGATATATGAATATAAATAAATTCATTTATATAACTATAAATTCATGTAGATGAAGATTTATCAAGTCAAAACTCATTGAGTTTAGATTAATGTGAATGTTAATTATTTGAGAATTAATAACGTTAAATTCATACAAGGATTTTGTAACATTTATTACATATTGAAAAAGAAAAAGTAAAGTATTATTGAAATAATTGACTTGTAATAGCGTTAAAATTGTCAAAAAAATTATTCTCACTTGATGTGATATTTAGTCTCTGTTTGAGCCCCATTTTTATAAGAAATCATTTTTTTCAAAATTCATTTTCAACCATATATTTTTCAAAAAATCACTATTCTATAATACATTTTATCCCAAAAATAAGGATCAAATAGGTGTTTAATATATTATAGGTTAATGCAACGTTTTTGAAAGGCAGAGAAACAAATATGCAACTTTTGCTAAAAAGTTATAATAGTGAATTATATTAAACAATTGGGTAGCCCAGTTGATTAGAGCGAGAGCGTGTTGCTTTTTGACCAAAAGGTCCAAGGTTCAACCCTCTAGCGTTTTTAGCACTTTTTTTGGACTTGCTCAAACTGGCAATCCGGGCCCAATAAACTAGATCCGATCCTGATTGAGAGATGGGTCTAATAATTCACGAGTTATGCTATATGTACAAAGTTGGGTTACAAAATTGGATGACAAAATAACATCACACCAATCATTTTAAAAACATATTTTTAAATCATTTGAAATCAACGGTCTAAATTTTGCCAACACACTTTATAACTCAACTTTGTACAAATAACTTTATTGAATAATTCACCTCCACTTATTCTTGAATCAAGATTTGGGCTTATTGAATTATAATGTAAAATATCATAAATATTTCTTTGTTAAAGTTTTTATTCGTCAATAATATTATTATTTTTATATCAAATAAATTCATTAAAGATTTATATTTTAGACTTTGAACAAGGTGCAAAAGGAATTTATTTGAATTTGGACTAGTTTAGGAATTGTTGTTGAATGACAACCCCTACGTAGGGTTTACTTTTCTTCCACTGAGATTTGGTCATATTTCTGGTTAAGTCGTAAGAAATGTCACAGTCAAACCCATAATGCTCTTTTGTCCATCCAAAAAACACATCTGCCTTGGTAATCAAGAAACATAATCATTAATCTTAATAACTATGGCTATGTAGTTCGGATATTTACCGTTCGGTATGAAAGACAACACAACGAACAAGATCGTTCACATTGGATTATTCATTCCCAAGCCATTTCTCTATTCAAATAAACCCTAATTATGGGAAAGACAAATTTTTCTAGAACGTCCATAGTGCTTTGATCAAACCTTAGACTACCCTTGTGAAAGCATTATATATAGACGCTGTCATTTGAATTTCAATTCAAAGAATTTCTTAGAATTTTGGTTCAATCTCGTTATTGTAGGACGAAGGCGTATGATTTTGCTGCTATGAACCAAAGTTTTGTATCATCTTCCAACAATGAGAAACCAGGGGCTGCTATTTCTCGTTGGTCACGGGCAACAGCTTGTGCAGCAAAGGTACGTTTTCTTGTTGGTTTATGATAGGATTAAATAATCGAGCTAAAACTATATCTTCCTTTACACATAAAGTATGACGAATAAATTTGATCTTAGCTAGATTGGAAAAGGGTTGTCCAAGGACGAAAAGGCTAAAGAACTAGCTACCGATTACTGGCTAGAAGCTGTGAGTAATTACGACCCAATGCAGTCTAGAACCAAACATGTCCCTAATGGCTAATGCTTCATTCTAATTTCTTGCAGATTGATCCGAGCCATCGTTATGGTCGCAATCTTTATCTATATCATGATGCATGGTCTAATAGCCAGAGATCACAACCATTCTTCTACTGGTAAATGCACCTCCATAACATCCTGTGCAGTTTAACATTGAAAAGTTTCATATCTTGGGCCTTTTTTGGGTAACTAGACAATTAATATCTAGTCTATGAAACTGTCTAGCATTGTTTACTATGTACCGAACGTTACTTTTATTTTTCTTTAAACTCATTGTTATAAATGAAGGCTAGATATGGAGGATGGTAAAGAGGTTGATCTCGAGGAGTGCCGTAGAATGAATTTACAATCTCAAGTCATTCAGTATCTTGGACCCGTGAGTATCCATCTTATAACTATTTGGGGTCAACTACGTGAATTCTTTTTCCGTCAGTCTGTCTGTTTATTACTAGATTTGCAAAAAATTGTTTATTTTCTTGCAGAAAGAGAGAGAAGCATATGAAGTGATTGTAGAACGTGGGAAGCTTGTGTATAGACAAAGTGGTGCATTTGTCGACACTAGCAAAGGAATAAAATGGATGTTTGTGCTTAGCACATCAAGGAGTTTGTACGTTGGGCAAAAGAAAAGAGGCACGTTTCAGCACTCTAGCTTTGTAGCTGGAGCTGCCACGATTGCTGCCGGACGAATAGTTGCCCGTAATGGACTACTCGAGGTCTGATCCGCATGCTAGGGAGCGTGATAGAGTTAAATAAGAATAAATTTTTTAATACTCTCGAAGTATGAAATCAGTATTCCTTGCGACCGTTTAATTGATATATGTATTAATCCACTGTTTGGTATTGATTAAAATCAAATTTTATTCTAAATTAAAGTCAAACAATCAATATTAACCACATATATTATTGGTCTCACAACTTTTTAATCACATATTTCATCAACTTTTAATAAAATCTAATTTTAATCTCTACCAAACAGGGGCTAAGTTTCTCGTTCAATAGTAAATCTCAGTTATTTAACACATATATCAATTGTACAGTGGCAAAAAGTAGTCAAGACTCCATACTCTAGTAGCACTCGAAATTTTTGCATAAATAAGAGCATTTTTGGCTAAAAAGTTAATTTCTTTCCCAAGCATGTTACATTGTAACTCTTTTTGGCCCAAAACTTGCTTTTGAGAAAGTACACCTATTTTTTAGCATGTTTGATTAAGCTTTAAAAAGAAAATTTTAAAGTAGATAATAATTTTATTGGTGAAAATTAATAAATTAATGAATTAAGTTATCTTTATTTCATTTTAGTGTAATCGCGGTTTTAGACATAGGTAAAATTGCTCTAAATAAATTTATCATCGCTCTTAAAATTGAAATGTAAAACAACCAAACGGAAAATTCATCGTCTTTATTTCATTTTAGCGCAACTAATTTTCTTTTTTTCCTTACTTGAGATAATATAAGCAATTATCCCACCCTTTTTTTTTGAGATGTATTTATTTATTTTATTCATTTATTTGGTAGGCTATATGGGCCTACAGTGGTCATTATCGCCCAACTGAAGAGCATTTCACGGAGTTAATTCAGTTCCTTGAGGAACAGCATGTTGACTTGAGTAATGTTCAGGTCCGAGTTATTCTTAACCTTGTGCACATCTTAAGATTACAACAGAACACCAGCGTGATCACTTATGCAGATGACTTGTGCTCACGATCACGATCATGACCATTACTTGTGGTCGATGATTAAACACGTAACTTATGCTCGTAATTTCGAAGTGATTATTATGCACGATCACAATCATTAATGTACAGTTGGACTAGTGATTACAATGCACGATCGCACTAGTTAGGGACCAAGAAACGAGAATTTTTCTGGCTCGTCTAAGTTGTCCAAACTCAAACAAGCTGCATATCGTATAATATTTTGAAAAACTTTCGATGGATTCTTTTTTTGCAGAAAGGGCCAATAGATGATGATGTTCCACCAGTTGAGAAAGCAAAATCTGTAGACAATACAAGTGCGCCTCCTTTAGAAAACTTTATTCCTCCTGTTAACACTGATAATAAAAGTGGAGTTGTTCGTAGTAATGTCATCTAAGTGGACGACTGGAGCTTGCCTGAAAATGTTGAAAGTTTGGTGTCCGTTTGACTTTTTTTTTTTATAGAAGTTGTCTATTAAACTGATAATGTTTTTACCATTGAGTTTAAAATTTGTTCCAATTGTCAAAAATAAAAAAAATTACCATACCGAATACCATTCGTTTGACTTTGTTTTGTATGAAAATTGTCAATAAAAGTGATAATTTTTTTTACAATTGTGTCTAGAATTTTTTTCAATTGCCAAAAAAAAAAAAAAGCAAGAAAACCAAAACCCACCTAAAAGGTAGGAAAAGAAATTCATCAAAAAGCAGGAAAAAGCGCACATAAGAAGGAAAGTAGGATAATGATTTCCATGAAAAATTTCTTCCATCAAATAAGACAAAAGTTAGAAAATGAAAAATAAATACTTAGGTCTAAGGAAAACAAATGCTATCAAAACAGAAATTTGTAGAACGAGGACAATGAATACTACAATATGATATAGATTATAGATCAATATTATACAATTTATGGCACTAATTAAAGCACCAATGTTGAGAATTTTATGGCATCAATATTGTACAATTTATTCAATTTTTGAATCTAAGGCCCTGTTTGATTAAACCTTTTTTCCATGGAATTGGAAATTAAATTTCAACTTTTTCAAAAAATGAATGTTTGATTGACAAACTTTTCTAGGCTAATCATTTTCCATCTTCACAGACACGCACCTGACTTTCCTCATAATTGGTGAAAACCAATTCTCACCTTTTTGGTGAGAATTTGGTTTCCAATCCGCGTGTTTTTTTTTTCAAAATGGAAACAAATTTGATAACCAAGTGTAAAAAAAAAATTCACTTTCATGAACAATTTTGATGCAAACGAAGGCCAAATGAACACTAAACTTTGATTTTAAAAAAATTCGTTTTTTTTTTCCTTTTTGGCAATGGAAACAAATTTTATAACCAATTGTGGAAAAACACTTTAATAAACAATTTTGATGCAAACGAAGGCTAAATTTTTTTCCACCCATTTTCCACCATTGCAATCAAACGGACCCTAACATTGAAAAATGTTTACTACCTTGGGTTTATAAAAATTTGAAAAAATTCTTTCCTTCTTTGTAGATGCTTCTTCGTTAATAATTATTTTCCTCTTCAACCCACTTTTCCCAATCATTGCGGAAGTCGGAGTCGGACTAAGGTGAGTGTTTATGCTATTTTGGAGTTTTTGAAGTCAGAGTCGACGTCGGAGAGTCGGTGAGTATTTGCAGAAGACGGCGAAATGACGAAGCGGGGGAGATGGCAAAAAACGTGGGAGAGGCGTTGGAGAGAGGAGAGAGTTTTAGAATGAAAAAAGTGGGAGAAGGTTGAGGTTTGGAAGCTTTAGTTTTTAGGACGTAATTAATACGGTTTTTATTAAGTTTAATTTAATTAGGGCATTAATATATATTTTTTCAATTTTCAGAGGCCTAATTTCGTAATTAATACGGTTTTTATTCTCACTACATATGCTTAGAGAATCAGGTAGATATTCACCTTTACACATATCTAACGTGACCCACCTTCTAATAATCTCGTGTTTAGAGGATAGTTTCTACTTTGTCGACATGACTCATATTCGGTTGGCCAACGAGGACTAATGATTTTATCAACAATTTATTAATCAATTTCAAAATTTTAAGGCAGCTATTGAACTCTAAAGATATATTGTAAACTTAATAGAATATTTTTTCTATTATGATTAGCAACATAAAGGGATTTTCTAAAATAAATGGCTAATTATGAACTACAAGAAACATCAAATTAAACATGCTTGAAACGAAAGAAAAATACTTCGAAGACGAACTTGTTTCTGACAAATGGAAAATGATTGTAGGGATTTAATGAATCATACAAAATAAGAGAATAAGACTCATTTAATGGACTTACAATTTATTGGCATGTTTGGACCTGATTAAAATCTGATTTTAATATAAGTCAAAGTCAAACAATTAATATTAATCACATTTTTTCATAGATCCCACATCTTTTCAACCACACATTTCAAAAACTTCTATTACAATTTACTAAAAAATCAATTTTAATCTCCACCATACACTATATAAAAACAAATTTGATTCATCGTGGCATTAATGCGATTAATGTAGTTTCTTTAACCATCTTACATGCATCCTCACAAAACTCTATCTCCATATTTAGTACTTTGCATTGAATATATTTTTGAAATCGTGCATATTTGATAGGACTTGATAATACAATAAAAATATATATAGTAGCTTAACTGTACTTTAAATATCGTTTCATATTACAATTCAAAATTATTCGAT